ATTATTAAAGATCTTTGTAAAGTAACATCCAGATGCCAGAGATCTGATTAGTTGCCAAAGAGACCCAATAATACAGTAAGAACTGGTTGAAACTTGGCAGGCACGTGGCTCTAACTCCCCCTCTTCTGGTCTAAAATGGGGGTGATGGGTTGTAACTCTTCTTTGGGTTCCCTGATGCTCATGTTCTCCAGCAGGGGTTTCTGCAGACCACTCTTACAACTTTTGGTCCCAGGGCAACATGAGCTCCGCTTTGATGCCCAGCACACCCTCTCTGAGCAGCACAAGGTGTATGTAGTAGCCTTGTCCATGTAGTAGTTAATGAGGTCTCCATTGTGGATCATCGGGCTATCCAGAATTTCATGGATTTAATTATCTGTCCTCTAGTTTCCCTAGACACTACAGCCTCACAACCATTGGTCCCACTCTCCCTGGTGAACCATAGCAGGGCCTCTAAACAGCCAGCTTTCCTAGTAGTTGCCTCCTAGTGGCACACAGACTTCCTTGTGGCTGGAAGCCAAACCTCTTCTGAACTACAGTAGTCAGATCCTGGACTAGCCCTTTTCACTGAGAACAATCTATTCCTGGTGGCTAAGATAGTGATTTCTTCCCTGGTTAGTGTTAATTTTAACTTCAGCTCCAGATTACCATCTTCAGCCAGCTCTGGAGAAACTATCTTGGAAATTTGCATTGTCATCTTTTGCAACTTGCAGTAGAAAGAAAAAAAACCCAAGGTGTTTTTTTTTAATATGATCTATACAGGACATATTCAAAGCTTCTAGAGACCAGTGACCTGAGTCCAGCTGCCTTATGTTCTGCCTTGTGTTTTGCAGGCTGAGTGGATCAGTAGCATCACATCTGTAACCCACCCATGAAAGATCGATTGAGAAACTGTAGTATCTAGCACAGTGTCTTGAACTTTGTGGGTTCTCTGTAGTTATGATTGAAGGATCTTTTAAAAGATGAATCTAAAAAGAGTATTTTTGTAAGATAAGAATGGGATAGTCTGTCCTGACCTTTTCATAGTCTGTTATGAATGTCTAATAAACCTCAGTTTCTTTCTCTTGCGAAAGGCACTGGGGTGGGGTGGGGGGGAAGAACATGTGAGATACAAGGCTTAGTTGAGAAAGATAGGCAGAGGAGAATCTTGGAAATGAACAGGACTTTAGTTTCTTACCTTGTCATCTTTATTTGCAAATGCCCTAACCGGGATCTTGGAACAAATGGAAAGTTGTAAGATTCTTGATTTGTAGAGTAGCTTTTATCTTTTAGTTTCTTTTTTTTAAGGTTATAGTTTGGCAAACAACAAATGCTGACAAGATTGTGGAAAAACTGGAACCCTTATTCAACTGTTGGTGAGAGTGTAAAGTAGTGCAGTCACTCTGGAAGGCAGTATGGAACTTTCTCAAAAAGTTGCAAATAGAAATACCATTTGACCCAGCACTTCTACTACTGGAAATAGACCTGAAAGGAACCAGAACTTCCATCCAAACATATATATGCACACCCATGTTTATTGCTGCATTGTTCACATAGCAAAGGGATGGAACAACCCAAGTGCCCATCAACAAATTAATAGAGAAGCTGTGGTATATTCGCACTATGGAATATTATGCAACACTATAAAACAAGGAACTCATAGAAAATGGATGACCCTGGAGGACATTATGCTGAGTGAAGTATCGTAATCACAGTAGTACAAATAATGCATAATGCCACTGTTATAAAACAGGACTGACATTGGGGATTGAGGGGAAGCTAAGAAAAGGGTTGGTTAATAATGAGCACTGTATTGGCACAGATGAGGGAAAGAATTATTTAAAAGGAATATATGATTAGGCATTATTTGCATGACAATAATTCAGAATAAGAGATGCCTAGCAAAGTAGACTGGGGTAGGGATTTTTGTTGTTGTTAATCGATGTCTTGTCATAGACGACTCATAGCTACCCTATGAACGAAAGACTTGAACACTTGTATAAATTTCATCGTTTCTCCAAGTTCATAGAGTTTCCGGAGGTAAGCTATTTTGGAATTAGATGCCACTCCTGCTTCCAAGCTTGTTTTAATCGGGGAGCTCCACTAAACACTGTCCACCATGGGTAACCATTATCACATTTGACACATCAGTGACACAGTGTTTAGTATCACAGCAATCACGAGTTGCTGTACCCCTGGTCAGCAAATGGACCGACCAGTACTATACCACTTGGAAGCATATTTGACCAAAAACAATTAAAACCAGGCCCGAGGATCGCAGGTTAAAATCATACACCTTTGGCTTGGTACCATCACTGTCTATCCGCTAGGCCAACAGAGCTCTCATTGTTTTTGTTGTTGAGTGCCGTTGGTAGACGACTCATAGTGACCCTATGAACGAAAGACCTGAGCACTTGTATAAACTCTATGTAGAGTCAGACCGCTTCAGAATACTCCCCACCTCCATCCCTTACTGGTGAATAAATAAATGCCTTTTTAAGTAGGAGGCTGAATACAATCACCTCACAGCCAATTACCAGTAAACAGTATCCCAGAGTCTCACCATAACCAGAAACCCAAACCTCTGTAGAGTCAGGAATAGGGGAGGAAATTATGAATGGTGGTGGTGGTGGTGGTTGTGGTGTTGGTAGTGGTAGTAGTAGTAGTAGCAGCAGCAGCAGTAGTATATGTACAGTTAAATTGGATCTGACTGGTACAGGAGGAGATTGTCCCCCCTTCTCCAGCAGAGCATCTGGTGGATTCGAACCTTGTTTCCCTGGGATTGCAGTTCAGCTTCTTGCCACTAGGCCACCAGAGCTCCCATGAATGAATTCCCCCCCCTCCCAGGCAATGGAGTATTTCTTTTTATCGGTTTGCTTAAAATAAATTCATACATATTGTGTTTTATATAATAATTCATACATATTATTGAATTGTATGCAATTATCATTGATCTATGTTTATTATTATGCTTTCTCTTCAAGTCCTCATAGAATCTTTCTGATTCCTTCATCCTCCTCTCTACCCACTGATTTTCCTTCCTTCCTCTCCAGCTACCCCCATTTTCCCGTCTGCCACTTTATTTTCTTTCCTCTTTTGATTATTTATACATATTTTGCTCAGTTTTCCTCCTGATTTGACAATAATGGTCTTATCCAGCATTTGTCCTTGCGTAACTGAGTTATTACACTCAGAATACTATTATCTCCTTTAATATACATTATTTTTTTATTTTATTAATTTTAATGAATGTGTGCAGAGATTTTGGATTTCTATTCATTGTTGCATTTTTCTTCCTGCCCACCCCTTGCCCCTCATTCACTTTTCTCTTTGAAAAGTGAAAGAAAAATTCTTTCATTGGTATACAAACCCACCCCTCACCTCCCACCCAGAGTACACTCCACTATGCAACCTTCATTTGGGACTCTTGTCATAACCATAATACCCAATTATATATCGCTTTTAAACAGTTCTCTCCCTCATCTGTTTCAATATAGTATGCATAATTTATCCAATTTTTCTCAGTCTCACCCCAACCCTGTTGTCAGTCCCATTCTACAACAATGGCACTATGCAGTATTTGCCCTTTGGTGACTGAGATATTTCACTCAGCATAATGTCCTCCAGGGTCACCCATTTTTTTAATAATATTGCATGAGTTCCTTGTTTTTCAATGTAGCGTAGTATTCCATTGTGTGAATATACCAGAGCTTCTCTATCCATTCGTTTGTCAATGGGCACTTAGGTTGTTTCCATCTCTTTGCTATTGTGAACAAAGCTGCAATAAACAATGGGTGTGCATATATCTGCCTGGGTGGCAGTTATGGTTTCTTTAGGGTATATTCCCGGTAGAGGAATTGTTGGGTCAAATGGTATTTCTATTTGCAACTTTTTGAGAAAGCGCCACACCTCCTTCCACAGTGGTTGCACCATTTTACACTCCCACCAACAGTGAATAAGAGTTCCAGTTTCTCTGCAACCTCACCAGCATTTGTTGTTTTCTGCTCTGTTAAATTTTGCTATTCTGTCTGGGGTGAGATGATATCTCATAGTTGTTTTGATTTGCATCTCTCTTAGAGCTAGGGATTTTGAACATTCATGTGCTTGTTGGCCATCTGAATGTCTTCTTTGGTGAAGTGTCTTTTCATATCCTGTGCCCATTATTTATTTGGATTGTTTACCTTTATCTTGTTGTAGTGATGAATCAGTTTTTAAAAGAGAAAAGTGAACTGGTTTTGGGGGATAGGGAGGAAAATGTACATTAATGAATGAATGGCAATCCAAGTTTTCTCTAATCTTTGGTTAAAATAACAAAAATAATTTTTTTAAAAAAAGAGTTTGCTATAGTGCTGCTTTGCTTCTTTGCTGTAGTTGACGACAAGGAGGAACTGTTAACCTGTATTAGAAACATTTCTGGTGTCAGACGGCTAACACATATGACCTCCAGTCTTGCCCCAAATCTTCATTGTCATCATATATCTGGCTTCTTCCTGGATAGGAGCAACTCTTCCTGGCAGACAATAGATCATACTTGGTGAGGGAATGGATTTACTCCAATGGCTTTGAATGGCTTTGACCTTTAATGCCTCATAGAAGAGTAGTTAACACACCACTTAATCCCCCTGGAATTCCCCAGCCCTGTGGTTATGTAGTCTACATAAGTGGTTTTTAGAAGTGAAGATGAGATTGGGTGAGATTGTGGGCCAAATACCATTCATCTTCTGGTGGACAGATTTATAGGAAGAAGATTGTGTAAAGATTTTTCTTTCCACCAAGGACCAAATGGGAGGAGATAGTCTTAATTTAGAAAAAAAATAGATGACCATGGGAGGCCATGACATGTCCTGTTCTCAGAAGATGAGAACAGGGAGGAAGAACACTCCTGTTGGGTTAACTAGGAGGGTGCACACTACACAGACAAGATGGCCTCTGTTGTCCAACCCTTTTTATAGGCTTCATTTAATGTAAATGTGTCATTCACTGCCCTAAAGAGTGAGCTCTTACTTAATTTCTTTTTCTCTTAGTCAGATTCTGAGGAAGATGAACCCACAAAGAAGAAAATTGTCCTTCAGGTAAGCTTTATGACATAATTTAAGCTATTCTCTTCCCATATTGTTTTTCAGAAGAAAACTTCCCTATCAGGCTTATAGCAAAGGTAGACATTTGAGGACTGATTGTTTAGCTTTGGTTGTCTCCTGTTCGACTTCAAAGCTTGTGCTTTTCTGCCCTCTCCTTATGCTCTAGCTTTTAGCATGATGGGTGTTGTTACTCTAGAGACAGGCAGATGACTTATAACGCAATTCAATTCATTACACCTCAGGTAAAAGGATTATTTTGGGAGGTACAGGGAATGGATTGGTCAAAATGATGTTAAGGATCATCTGTATTCTTAAATTATCTATCTTCTCCCTACCTCATTTTTAACCTGGAAAATAGAGGCTTAAATAGCTGATGGTGCACCAGACACCATTTTAACTGCTTTATTGGCAGTTAATCTTCACAGTGTGCCTAAGTCATGGTATTACATTATCATCCCCATTTTATATATGAAGAAACTGAGGAACAGATTAAGGAACATGTCCAGGGTCAGACGGTAGGGGCGGAGTTGGTATTCAGAACCAGGAAGTCTAACCCTGTAAGCCTAACCCTGCACACGGTTGCTTCTCCATAATCAAGACCAGAATCCTCAACCAAGTGGTGCTTGTAGACAGTCTCCTTTCCTGTTTGCTGTTTCCCCTTGTTTCAGTACCTTTATTCTTGCTCCTAGGAATTTCTTGTTCTCTGCCACACCCTGACCTTATGTTGATCATGTAGCTCAGAGAAAACAAAAGTTGGACTGTATCTGTATATGTTGTTGTTTGATGCCGTCGAGTCGTAGGCGACTCATAGCGACCCTATGAACGAACAGCCTGAGCACTGTTCATACATAGAGTTTCCGGAGGCAAGCCATTTCGGAAGTGGATGCCGCTCCTGCTTCCAGGCTTGATTTGGTCGGGAAGCTCCAGCCAACACTGCCCACCATGGGTACCCATTACCACGATTGGCACATCACTGTCACAGTCTTCAGCATCACAACAACCACGAGTTACCTCTGTACAGCAACACACAGACCGGTGCTATACCACCTAGAAGAATGTTTGACAGGAAGACAATTTGAACCTGGCCGAGGGCCACAGATGAAAATCACCCACCTTCAGCTTGGTAGCACAGCTTCCTTCCACTAGGCCAACGTAGCTCCCTCTTGGTTGTCATTATTATTGTTGTTTGATGCCGTCAAGTCATAGACGTATATACGTATCTGTATACAGGTGGTGGATTATATTGTGCTTCAGATAAACTGTACGGAAGCTCCTCCTTTTTCTGACAACTGTTCAGGCATCACTGTCATCATCCAAAATCCTTTCCTTTATTAAGAGCTCTTCTGAATATGGCACTGTGTCCCTGGGACATAATTTTCACTGAATTAGAGTCTGAAGTACATGACCATGTGGAACTTTAGAAAAGATAACTGACAAGAGTAAAATTGTATCCATAAGTACAGTGGGTATAGAAGGAGGACTCATGGAGGAAGCAGGCATGCTGTGACAAAAGGATGACAGTCTTGATCCTTTTATCAGTGTGTCTTTTTGAAGAAAGTGAACTTGTAGAAGAAGTGCTGGAAGATCACTGGCTCAGAAGGTCCCCTACCCAAGAATAAAGAAATCTAGAAAAGAAGAATTTGGAGATGTTAAGGCAGAGGAGACCCAGTGCTGCACAGAGGTCTAGCCACCATCCCAGTTTGTTGTCTGAGAAGTAAAACACTTCAAAGGAAGCTTAAGAATGTGCTCTAGTGACTGTTCAGCTTGGTTTTTATGATCCTGAATCTCTGGAGGCTGCCAGGCTGAATGACCCCAGTCTGTGACTGCAGTAGAGAAAGGCCCTTCTCTGGATGATCAGTTTGTCTTCTGGGCCCTCTTACTTCTGTACTCTTTCTGGATAGTTCTCAGCTGAGAAGGCTGGAGTATATATTACTCCAGGACCTTTTCCGATTTTTTTCAGCTTGGCCCCACAGTGAGGTAGAGCTGGCCCTTTAGCATCCCAAAAGTACAATCAGAGACTTTTACAGGTAATAGAAACTCAGATTGGGCTTGGCCAGTTAGCTTCGGAACTGGTAAGTGCTTGACTCTGGCATAAACAAACAGAATATGTGATCTCTGGAAGGCTTTTACTAGGTAAGAGGGCTCTTTTGGTAGCTATATAAATGACAGCGCTTAGTTCTTCACGCTGAGTAGTAAGTATTCCCAAGGAAGGAAGAGAGCGCACCCTAGAGGACAGGGAGTGATGAGCTGGAAGAGCCTAGACTTTTGGGGGACGAAGGATATTAATGAGCAGGGTGTTTGTCACAAACATTAAGTGCGATGAGTAGGTTGTGGTGATGGCAGGAGAGCTGGATTGGGATGGATTGAGAGCAGGGATGGCATCTCACATTGGGAAGTGGCTCACAGAAGGACTGGAGGTAAGTCATGCTGAATTGATGACCCAAGTGGTAAAATATAAATGCGGTCTGTAACATTTTAGTTTAGCGTCTTTAGCAGTAGTTTTTGTTCTTAATATTGATGATCCTTAACATAAATCTTATTTTGTATTTTTCTTTTATCCCAATCTCGGTCTTACAGGGATCCAGTGAGGGGACTGGTTTGTCTGCCTTGCTTCCCCAACCTAAAAACCTGACTGTGAAAGAGACTAACAGGTTGCTCCTGCCCCATGCCTTTTCCCGGAAACCTTCAGATGGCTCCTCTGATACTAAGCCCTCCAGACTGGCCCCTAAGTCCAAGCCTTCCTCTCTTGCCCCTGTTGTGGGTACCACAACCACCACTCCATCGCCCTCTGCCATCAAGGCTGCTGCCAAGAGTGCTGCCCTGCAGGTGACGAAGCAGATCACGCAGGAGGAGGACGACAGTGATGAGGAAGTAGCCCCTGAGAACTTCTTCTCCCTCCCTGACAAGGCTGAGCCACCTGGAGTTGAGCCATACCCTTACCCCATGCCCACAGTCCCTGAAGAGCTGCCTCCAGGGACAGAGCCAGAGCCGGCCTTCCAGGACGATGCCGCCAATGCCCCTCTTGAATTCAAGATGGCAGCAGGCTCAAGTGGAGCCCCTTGGGTGCCTAAACCTGGGGATGACTACAGCTACAATCAGTTTTCCACATATGGCGATGCCAATGCTGCTGGTGCTTACTATCAGGTGAGTTGAAGCCTGGAGGGCAGGCAAGGATGCTGGAATGTGGAGTCACCTTTGAGCCAGTGACACAGCTTCAGGGCTGTGGCTCTGATTGAATTAGTGAATAATCTAGTGTCTCAATTTTCTTATAGCTAATAGGCTTCCTTGGAAGCAGGAGTGGCATCCACTTCCTAAATAACATGCCTCCGGAAACCCTATGAACTTTGATAAATGTCAGTAGTTGTTGTAGAGGGGCTTCAGGGCTTTTGTTTATGGGTTGCTATGAGACGTGATCAACTTGAAGGCAATCAACAACAATAGGCTTCCAGACATCCTAACATTATACTAAACCATAGTGATTTTAAGTTGTTCAGGTGTTAGAAGTCTCAGAAACGTCAAGATCTTCATATTTTGCTACTTTTAAAAAAAAAAAAATTATTTGCTACTTTTAGTCTGAAGACAAAACACTATCATGAAAGCTATATAAGGAGAAAGTGGAGGAGGAGTGTGTTCTAATATCAGGCAAGGTCACTTTCTCAGGTGTGGCTGACAGGATAAGTACTCTCTGGTATAGACTTCTAGGTACCAGTTAGTCTAAGAAGGGTCTGGAGATGAGTATTGAGAAAACAGAAAAGCTAAGGGAGGTGAGGCTTGGAGGAAAGGAAAGAATCAGGAAAGAGAAATAAGGAAAGTAGTGTGAGACTTCTGTTGAGTTGTGAGAGGGTGAGAGGACTGAGGCAAGTCCCTGGAGAGGAAGAGGCCAGGGACAGTGATAGAGAATGGAATGTGATGGCAGTTGGATTTAAGTCAGACCTCCCAGCTGTAAAATAAGAATAATATTAGTGACTTCATAGTGTTGATATGAAGATTGCATCAGCTTAAAATAGCAGTGCTAAGTTAATGGTTATTATAACTTTTTTATTAGAAATACTATTGTAAGAGAGCATTGGCTTTGTCCTGTGTGGCATGAGAGAGTGTAAGCTTAGAATACCAGGCTATAAATTGATTTAAGAAAGAATTTCCCAATGGCCAGCAGTTATTGAATGGAGGGAATTCCTTGGAGTTGAGGGGATTGAGCACCCACCACTCACAAGTGTGGGCTGCTGTGGAAGGTTTCACTGCCAATTGAGCATTGTTGGAAGGGTCAGTAGCCCCTGCAACTCCAACATTGGTTAGTGTTAGTCTTAATTCAAAATAGGTGTTGGAGGGTGGATTGGAGAGGACTGGTAGCACAGTGTGTAATGCATTGACTGCTAATCAAAGGTTGGGCATTTGAATCTACTAGTCATTCCACAGGAGGCAAATGGGCAGTCTCTGATAAAGATAGTCAGGAGCCCAGTGAAACCTACTCAACGGTATCTGCTCCATGGCAGTGCAGTTTTTTGAGTGGATTGTTCTGATCAAAGATTTTGCAAACAATGTATTTCCTAAGCCTTCCCTGTTATTCACTGCTATATCTTGTAGGCTGATCAGGGATAGTGTCTCTTAAAGGCTTGTTAGAAGGAATGAGGCATGTTGTTAGGAGTGAGGTAGATGATAGATAATGAAAGTGTTTTGATTTTGTTGAGGGAAAAAATATTTATTGGTAAAAAAAATGCTGCTTTACATCAAACAAATGAATTATGAGTTTAAATTTTCTGTGTGGTTTTAAATACCATTGAAGAAGTGTATGCAAATCAAATAACTTTAAATGAACTAGTTGTTGGGTGCTGTGGAGTTGATCATCACTCGTGGGGTCCCCATAGTATAGAACAGATCTGCCTCTGAGGGTTTCCTAGTCTGTAAGTCTGTGCAGCGGATCTCCAGGTCTTTTTTCCTGGTAGGATCAGTTAGTAGATGAATGCTTTTACCCACAGCACCACCAGAGCTCCTTAAATGCCCTGTTTAGGAGGATGCTACAATTAAGATATATCTTCTTAATATACTTGAATAGAAAATGCATAGTCTGATCTCTGGATTTTTAGATACTCCTTTCATTTAGTGATTATTATGCCCTCCTCCCCCATTTAGTTCAGAATTTGGGGGAGAAGTGGTAGAAGTAATAAGGGAAAGAAGTCTAGGCAAGGAGGAAACTCCTCCTCAGCCCTGTGGCTGTCTAGCCTGGCCGCCAGGAGCCTTGCTTTTGCCTTCATTTCTTCTTCCCCTCAGGTTGTCATCAACACCTGGGCAGCTCACTGCATCACATTCCTCAATGAGAAGAGAAGCCTGGCAGCACAGACCGGGCTTGTTCCTAGCTTACCCCACCCTCACTGTGGTTTATTTTATTTTACAGATACCCCTCCTCTCCCTTTTAAACACTCTCCCTATGTGTAAAGACCCTAAGTAGGATAAGGAGCAGGAATTGAGGCCCTCACGCTTTCTCAGCCTTGCTCATATTTGGCATAGTGGATTCTGATGAGCAGGAAGGCTTAGGGTGGAGGCATAGAGAGGGCCTGGAAAGCAGCAAAGGGAATATTGCTTATAGATTGAAGCACACAAGAAGGTATTATTCTTTGATAGGCTTCCCTCAAAAATATCTGTCAAGGAACGTTGCAGGGATTGGCTGAGATTGGTTCATGTCTTGAAGTGGTCTGTGAAAGGGGCTGCAGTGTGGGTATTTTCACTGTCTGCTTGATAACATTTTCTCTGCATCTGGACAGACTGTATTTCCTCTCCACTGTGCCCTCAGTATGGTATATTTTCTTTCCTCCCTGGATGCAGGATTATTACAGTGGTGGCTACTATCCCGCAGAGGATCCAGCTCTGGTCACCCCCCAAGAAATTGCCCCAGATGCCTCCTTCATTGATGACGAAGCAGTAAGTTTACAAAGTACTAGTATCTATCTCTGACCCATGGAGTGCAGCTTTTAAATACGACGCTAAAGGCAATTCTTAAACACACACATCTTCATGTATCACTTAGGATTAATTTTGATAGTGCATAACTGAGGTACTCCAAAGAATAATGACTTATGTGATGACCCAACAAAAATATCAGAGATCCAGTCCTTTCTCATTATTGCTTTGCCATCACTAGCTTTTACCTTTATCTTCATGGTCCTTGGTACCTCTGAAACCTACAGTGATCAGTCTGCATTCCAGGCAGCAGAGAGGAGAAAGAAGAGGGAGGACACTTCCCTCACCTTTTAGGAAACTTTGTGAAAGGTCCAAAGAACACTTGCTCTTCTGTGTCATTGAGCTGAATTTGGTCATACATGGTCCTGTCTAGTTGCACGGGAACCTTGGATATGTAGTCCTTTAGTTGAGTGGTAACATGCCTGCCTACCCCAAAACTGTAGTTCTTTCAGACTAAAGGGAAGAATGTATTTGGGAGGTTGTGAGTAGCAGCTGCTGCTTTAAATAACCCTTGTGTTTTGTGTTAATGTATAACCTTGCTACTCAGTTTCTCCCCAACCTCAGCATGAGGTGACAAGAGCTCCAGTCCCTTAACAGACCCATAGCCGGGATATAAAGCATTGTTCTCTCTATAGAGAGGTCATAGCCTACTGGAAAGGACTTGGAGAAAGAAGGTGTTACCGTTTTGCGTGGATGTTCTTACAAAAAAGAATTTCTTTTCACAGGATGTCCATTCCTTTGTGAACTTCTCCCTGTAGCTAATGTGTTCATCTACTCCTCTGTGTCATCATCTTAGCCCTCCCTGTTGATGAGTTCAGATAGTTGGGCCGTTTTGGTCCTAAGCTCAGGAAGCAGCTGAGAACTTACCCAATGACAAAAGACACAGTTTTTTTGAGAGCAAAGTGACCCTGAGAGGCTATAGTGTTTGTATCAGGACTGCATCTTGAGGTGCCTAAATGAATTTTTTATTCTATTGCCTATACTTCACACTCCCTTCTAGGTACTTCTCTGGGTGACTTACTATGTGGTCTGCATTGTTTTGAGGAGGATAGCAGTAGTTTTATAGAAAATTTTCCATACCTTTTAAAAAATGAGGCTCCCTTTCAGCTTACCTCCCTACTCTTCCTCTATAATGGCCACACCTGTGTGGATCTGTGGAATGGTAGAACTGGACTAGGGAGAAGAACAGAAGTGTAAAATTATTTTTTTAGAGGAGAAATCCTAGGTTTTTTCCCACCCAGAATTCTTAATTTGAAAATGACATGTACTCCTTTTTGTCAGATATCATTTATACTTCATTTAAGTGCAAATTTCTATCAGTGGTTCTCTGTCTCTATTCCTTCCCTTACCTGAGGTCTAGTAGGCCTGGTGAGAAGAATGGCCTTTGTTTGGCATCAAGAGAGGTGGGGTACTTGGTGGAGGACAGGGTGAAAGGACACACTACACAGAGGGGAACAGAAGACACACTGGGCCTGGTGGGTCACAAAATCATTCTATAAATGCCAGCACCAGATCTTTAGGGACATGGGACTGACTCCCTCTCTCAGGTCTACTCCTACTCTTTTTTAACTTTTTATTTTCCAGTTTAAGCGACTACAAGGCAAGAGGAATCGAGGAAGGGAGGAAATCAACTTTGTGGAGATCAAAGGTGATGACCAGCTCAGTGGGGCCCAGCAGTGGATGACCAAGTCTTTGACAGAAGAGAAAACTATGAAGTCATTCAGCAAAGTAAGGAGGAAGGTTGTACGGATGGCCATTTTAGGAGGCCCACAAGCCAAGCCCTGTCTTTCCCACCCTGCGCTCACAGCCCCCTGTTAATGACACACCATTAAGCAGCTACCTGTTGCCTATGGCACATGGTGTCCATGCACAGCTCTTCCTTTCCTGATGGTGTCAGAACTTTGAGTGCTCCCTATTTGGATGTTGTAGTGTGGCTGCTGAGACCAAATCGGAACAGTTTCTCAACCTGCAGTTGGCAAGGTCTCTATGTTGTGGTGGCTTCTTTTGATTAGCTAGAAAACCACAGCTGCTCTGCCCTCTCTCCTGCTGGTAAGCTGGGACCTGGCTGAGCACCTCTTAGAGGTGTGGCCACAGAAGTGCTGGGGTCTGAGCACGCCACCTCACCTCTCTCCTTTCCCTCTATTATTTATTATCGACAACCTGTGGTCTTGGCAAGTGCTTTTATTCCTTACATTTCCCTTACCATGCTCTTACCTTCCCTGTGCTAGTTTTCTTCAATCAGTGTGATGAACATCTCTTCACCTGGTAGCTGAGTACAGCAAATGTGAACTTTTGTGAGCCTGCCACGGGGAAAAATGTGGATAAGCCCTGGATTCGAGCCCAGCACCAGTGAGGCCAAGGTCAAGGACTTGGGCCCTGTTTCCTCCCCATTTGCTTTGCTTTGTTCTGTGGCCACAGATGGCCAACCTTGCCCAGCCATTTGTTCTCACTGAATGCTGGCGGTCATACAGGGCAGAGCACAGGATTGTGGTTAGATCAGCATAGATCCATCCCTGTTTACTGGAAAAACCACTTAGGAGAGCACGCTCTACTATCTGTGGGTTGAGAAGCATTTTCACATAGTAATAGCTACTATTGTTAGTGCTCACTGTGGACCAGGGATGGAGCTGGATGTTTTATATATGTCATCTTTAACTACCACATTAAATGACATTAAGTAACAGCAGAGGTAGAATTTGCTGTTTTTCTTACTCCAGGTTTTCAGTCCATCATCTTATTGTATTGAGCTAGATTTGAGGAGTGAGAAGAACAACAAAAATAGATATAGCTCCCATCCTCAAGGAGTTTATAGTGTAGCTAGGAAAGTGATTTAAAGGGATTTGAGTGTAAATGATTCTAGTGCAAATTGATTACATAAGTGCTGAGGAGACTCCAGAGAGGAGTGGTGGGAGTTGGGTGGGGCTAACTAGAAGCTTCTAGTCTGACACTTTGGCCGAGGACAGAGAAACCACAGAAAGCAAGGCCGCCCCGTGTAGACTTTAACAGTAAATCATTTGCATTCAGAGTTGGGTTAGGGGTTCCATGCTGTTATGGGTGGAGGCTGGAAGATTGGAGAAAGGTGGAATGGTCATGAAGATTCTAATTCTGGGGAAGCCGCTGGCACTTCCTAGAATCAGGGGAGGAGCGGTTTCAGCGAAAGGTAATTAATGGGGAGAGCTTGGTAAGCACTAGGTTGGAGGCATGCTAGACATCTGGCTCTTCTGGGAGAAAGATGAAAGTTTAAGGAGGAGATAGGTATGGGGGGCTGTGAAAGCGTCTGGAGGGAAGGGGAAGACCGCCTGTGCCCAGACACTTAGGCTCGTTGTGACTAACTGTCGGCGATAAGACCGGCATCAAGTGTCCACTGTGCTTGGTGCTGGGGGAGGTGGTTACTAAAGAACAGGAGACACAATCCTGACCTCAAAGCATTTCCAGTCTAATGGAGATATTAGCAGGCTATTTCAGGCAAGTATTCTGTGCTTGGGTGTTCTTGCATAATGGCTTTAATAAAAATAACCGTTTTGTAAGTATATAGACATAAATACAATTCAAAGCTGATTTTTCTCCCCCAGGATTTCTGTAGTTGGTTTCTCAGTCTCTGGGCATTTCTTTTTGTGAGTTAGTGATTGTGTTTTCTTTTGCAGAAGAAAGGTGAACAGCCGACAGGCCAGCAGCGGAGGAAGCACCAAATCACGTATTTGATTCACCAGGTGAGAAGGCTGGGGGCAATCCACCCCTCATCAGGCAGGACCCCTGTAAACCTGACTGTTAGAAGGTCTGGGAATGGGGCTAGAAGGCCAGGGACCAGCAAGTGGGTTCTCCGTGTGGCCACTAGGGGGAGATGTATCCTTCAGGATTATCTGGCTCCACTTTAGTCTTGCTGAAATGATACTGGTGCTTAGAAAGAAACTAAATCAAAACTTTTTATATTTAAATAAGCACAACTTAAGAGACTGAAATAGTTCATCATAAGGGCCTTTTAAGTAGTGGGTTTAATGTGGCTGTTATCATTAAGTCACTTTCTGCTCATAATGAGCCTGTGTCCAACAGAGGAAAACGCTGCACCATCCTCACAGTCATTGCTAACTTCAAGTTCATTGTTGGAGCCAGTGTTAGTGCATCTTATTTAGAGTTTTTCTTCTTTTCACTGACTCTACTAAGCTGCTGCTTCTTCTCCAGGGACTGACCCCTCCTGATAACCTGTCCAAAGTGTATCTGTTGTTGTTGTTGTTAAGTGCCGTTGAGTCGCAGGCGACTCATAATGACCCTATGAAGGAGAGTCCTCGACGCTTGGGTGCCTTTCATCCTCTCTCCAAGTTCATAGGGTTTCCAGAGGCAAGCTGTTATGGAAGTGGATGCCACTCCTCCTTCCACGCTTGTTTTAGTCGGGGAGCTCCACCCCACTCTCTGTCCGCATTGGGTAGCCAACCATTAATGCATTTGACACATCCGTGTCACAGCGTTCAGCCTCACAGCAACCACAAGTGACCGTGGGAAGGCAACTTGTACACCAGGGCTATATAACCTAGAGGAATGTCTGAACAAAAACAATGAAAGACTGGCCCTCGGGCCGCGGAGTAAAAGTCACCCACCTTGGTCTTAGTCACATCATTTTCTCAGCAAAGTGTATCTAGTAATGAGAAGGAAAAAAAAAGTTTATTGGCCTAGTGGCAACACACTGCATTGCAATCCCGAAGACACACAGTTTGAATCCACCAGATGCTCCGCTTGAGAAAGAGGGGCAGTCTCCTCCTGTGCCAATTGGATCCAATTCGATGGTACACACAACAACAACCCCCCCAAAAAAAAGGTTGGCTCCCCAAATTATTGTAAGATAAGTATCTAATGGGAAGTTGGTTTTATGTTCTCCACATTAATAGCAGAGAACAGCAACACATAATTTAAAAGTGTAGATGATCTAAAAATGCCTTTTGGAATTATAACTCAGCACTTTTTAGATACTCAATCATTTGAACAGACATCATTTTGATACTAACTGTATTAACTGCAGTGAATGATACAGATGTGAAGATGATATGGGCCCTTCCCTAGGGAGTGTATGTTTTTGGAAATATCAGTGGCAAATCTTGCTTTTATTGTCCATGTGAGATCTGCACCTTCCTTCCTGGGAAGGTGTATTTTTACCCTATCTTTCAGTTTGTAAAGGAGGGGGGATTAAGGTTAGATTTTTTTAAAAAAAAAAACATCTTCACTCTTAATTCCTTTTCGCTGGGGAAATGAGCAGGCTTCAGATCACTTTTGTGTGAGTGGGTGGATATTATTTTTATGTTTCTAGGATGTAGCCAAGAGTTGTTAGGTTCAGAAAAGGAAGTCATTATTTTAGTACCTCAGCCACATTTTCACAGCTTCAGTTGTTGTTTTAAAGTGGTGTGAATGTTTTAGCTACAACATACATTATATTCAGCACCACAGCAAAAATGCATTTCTGGCCTAAACTACTCTTGGCACACATCCAGTTTTGACCTTCTCGTTCTATTGGTCAGGTATCCAAGGCAGCTAATCTGTCACTTGAGTGTTTGGTTTTAATTTAGCAGAGAAAGACAATTTTCTTTATTCTTCTGAGGTCTTCCTTTCTACTAAGGTGAGAGAGTAAGTCTTTTAGGTAATTCATGCAATGGTGGAGAAATTCCTTAAATTGAGAAGTTTACAGAGGTGAGAGGGAAATGTCTTCTAGAATCCCTATTTGAATCCCTTTGCATTCTTCCTTGCCACAGGCTAAGGAGCGGGAGCTGGAACTGAAGAACACCTGGTCTGAGAACAAGCTCAGTCGCCGGCAGACCCAAGCCAAATACGGATTCTAGGACTCATGAATGGATTGCTCCAGGATCTCCTGCCAGCCCAGTGGGCCTGGCCCCCCAGCTTTGTCTCTGGGACCCCAGCTGCTCTCAGCCCAGGATCTCTTTCCCTGAGGACCCAGCCCTCGCCTCTGCGAGAATGAACATATTTGATAGATTTTTTTTCTTAACAAAAATTAGAAAACTCAGCTCCTTTATGTCTAGGAGCTAGGAGCTAGCACAGACTCACGAGTGATGCCTCAGAAGGGGCTGCAGATTCTTGGATGGGAGTCTTGCTCCCTCTTGGGTGTGATAACATATTGAAGCCCTCCTTCTTTTCCATCTTTTTTCTTTCAAGCCAAGGATGTCTGATGAAATAAAACATTCAGTCTGACAGACATCACCTCCCCTTACCCCTTTCGCCATTCTGGACCCTTTTTGTTTTGTTATCCTGTCCCTGGATCTCAGTTTTTACCTTGTGTAAAGCACCCTCCAAACCATCCTGAGTTGCCTCTGATTACTTTCATTCTAAGCTGAGGTTTGCGGCCACTCAAGACCTTAGAATTGAATACAGAATTTTGGGTAGAGTGGAGTGATTTCATCAGGGGTCTGTGATCTCAGTAAGGAGACTGTTACTGCTCTCGGGTGTGTGAAGGCTGAGGGAGCAACAGAGAGGGTCTTCGGTTACATGACTATTAGATAGAAGATTAAGTCCAGCAGGAGGTACAGTGGTATAATATGTGTCCCTAAAAATGATGCAGGGAGCTGTGGTGGCGGCGTCTGCAGGGAGTGGCAGTGTTAACTCAAAAGTGGCTGCTCTCTGGCAGTTTCTCCGCAGAAGAACGATGGACAATCTCCTGTGCAATTGGTACCTTCTGAGAACTTGCTGGAGGGCCAGTTACAATGATGTTCTAACTTGGCAGCAATGAAAGATGATTCAGATTCTCACTGGTAATCATTGGCTTGGACTAGTGCAGAGGCTTTGCAAGAGAGCTAGATGGGTCTTGGAGACTTCTGGGTTCCTAGCTTTTTGCTGGGAAGGACAGACAGGTTAGGTGGGTAGTTAGGAAAAGAAATGGCGAAGCCTGTGGACTCCACAACTACAGGACACCAGACACCATGATGGCCACAGGTGACAAGCTAGGTGGTATGATTTCTCCTTGGGACAAGATAGGGATGCGTAGGATGCTGAACAGCACAGCACGCTGATTGTACTGCAAACTCAGTACTGAACTAGGTTGTTAAAAGTACCAGGATTCCAGTAGGTTTCACTGCAGTCGTTCTGTGGAGGAAGAGGGCTGAAACAAAGGAGGATGCTGTAAAGAAGTGTGACTTTGGATGCCAGGCAGAGTATTGACTGAGTGTAGTCCTGTACTCAAGGCAGTTGTTGGAGGTTTCTGACCAGGAGACTCTGGGAAGAATTCATGTTTTGCACCCCTGGTGACAAAGCTAAGTCCAGAGGGAGGTTTGTGGTGGGGTTTAGGGATGGGGAAAAAAGGTACAGAAGTGAGGAATCTCATCCTCTTTTGGGGTGTGTGTGTGTGTGTGTGTGTGTGTGTGTGTGTGTGTAAGTCAAGGAGTCTGTTTCTCATTAAGTACAGAGAAGAGTTTCATCACTTACAGGAAAACCACCCGCTTATCTGAAATCTGACCTACTTCGGGTTGGAGCCAGACAGGGCTCCTGCATCCCACAGGGACACTCGGGCTGTAGTTGCTCAAATCGGTGCATCCAGCCAGTCAGGAGCAAGGAGCACCCTGACCACCCTGCACCACACACAGGGACACCTGCTTCTCAGCTGAGATAGAGGGTGGAGCCGGTTCCTAGTGCCAGAGAGTTTTTCAGATCCAGTATGTTACACATGGAGCCCTTCTCCCTAAGTTACTACCCCCTTACGAGTCAATTAGGTACTCTTTATTGTGGGGGCTGCATCACGATATAGCTGGATGGTGAGAGACAAATCAATCTTGTTGTTTTCTGGAAAAGAATCAGGTTAAATATCCGAGGGTCCTCTTGCCTCCCATTTCCTTTGTTTCTCTGTTGTAATCTTAAGTGACTCTTGGTCACACCAAAGATGACATTTTATTTGGTGCTTGGAGTTTCCTGGTCAAGATAAATAGACTGGAGAATGGACATCCTTCTGGAGAAGGATATCACTGGTGGTGCAGTGGTTAGGTGAAAGGTCAGGAGAGAAAAGATGGGGTGGGTCTGCTCTGTACTGTCGTGTGAGTTAGAATTGAGTTGATGGCAGTGGGGCTGGAATTTTGTTTTTCAGTTTTCTGGAGGTGGCGACCTCAATTTCTGATAACTAGAGAAAAGACAGGTGAAGGAATGATAAGACAAAAGGAAAGGTCTTTGGCTAGAATCTAGAATTGGTCTGCTGACCAACAGTCAAGCAGCAGAGGAGGAATGAATGAAGGCTTTGGTCAGGAATGGATTTTTTAAAAAAATTTTTTATTATTATATTTTGTGTGTGTATTGTGAAATCAGATCTGACTGGTACAGGAGAAGATTGCCCCTCCGTCTTCAGCAGAGCATCTGGTGGATTTGAACTGCAAACCTCTGGGATTACAGTGCAGCTTCTTGCCAGTAGGCCACCACCACTCCCTAGGAATGGATTTTTACTGCACTGGTAGATGTGAGACAGAGGAGTGCAAAGCTTGGCTATGCAGGCTGCACTAAGCAGAGCTCAGGAAGCTACGGTCCACATGGATCAGACCTACAAACTGCAGAAGTGGTAAAGCAGACTTAATTAGGATGTTTTCACTTCCTGCTCCTAAGCCTCCAGCCCCTGGGGAGGCGTCCCAATCAGGTCTTAAACTAGGTAGGATGTTGAACTGTTTTAAGAAGACATTTCTCTGAGAAAATGACCACAGTTCTGTGGAGCCTGGGAGGAGTGGTCAGGATGCTTGGGCATTTTGTTGCCTGCACCTGTCTGTTCTTTGCATGCAGCCCTGGGCTTTAAAGGAGCCCTGGTGGTGCAGTGGTTAAGTGCTCAGCTACAAACTGGCCAGGTGAGCATGTGGCTATACTCTGTCCTATGGAGTCACTAGTTTGATTCAGTAACAGTGGGTTTTTTAATCTCAGCTTCTACTGAATGGACACAAAAGTTCTTGCACTAGTAAAAATACTTCAGGGTAGAGGTCTTGATGATTACTGGCCTTGGGAGTGATGTGCTTTGGAATCACACCTTCCTATCCCTGAGCCAGTTACAGGTCACCGTCCTGGGTGGCATGGTCTACGTTATCAGCTGAGCAGGAAAAAACCAAATGTCACTGCAGCCAGACATGGTGCCGAAGAGGCTGGAACTGGGGAAAAAGCTGGGCTTGCTGTGGGATAACATCCTGAGGCTGACCACAAGGCCTTCCATGTGCTCTGCTGAGGGGAGAGGAGATGCAGTCCTTTCACTGCTGAGCTGGCTGGGGCCGAGGGGGAGAAGGTGGAATGACCATGAGGAAACTCAGTCGACGATGTCTTCCAGCTCCTGGCATAAGTGGCCTCTAGCTGGGAATGAATAACCCACTCAGCATAATCACTCACATCTTTGGTCTCAGTGGGCCCCACGGGGAATGACGTCAGCAGCAGGATGGTATCAAGGTGCCCGTGGCTGTGAGGGAAGTGGGGGCTCTGCAACTTCTGGGCTGGCCTGGGACCTCTCAGGACTCCACGGTAAAAGGAAAGGCCTTAGATTAAAACAAGATCTAGACTCTGGGCCTGGCTCTGCCTCCACTTCCTTCCTCTCAACTTGTTGCCTCTGGTTCGTCCAAGACACCAAGTCAGGGTCTCTAGAGTGCCTTCTAGTTCCAGCCTTCACGTTTAAAGTCCTATACTTGCATTATCTTCTCTGCTCAGATGAGTGTGTTTAAGAAGGCAGTGCGTCCATAAGGATTGTGGGGAACAGTACGGGAAAAGACCAGTTTGCACAGCTAGTTAGCACAGTGTCACCCCAGTATCTCAGGGCACTTTGGATAACCTAGCACCTGCATTCTCCCACCACCCTTTTGGTGTGTCCACCCAAGCTGTGCAGCACCCCTGAGGGGAGGGAAGGGTGACCCTGCTCGGGCCCTCACTGCCTGCAGTCCTCAGGGACACCAAGTGAGTCACTGTGGGAATTTCAGACTCTCCAGTTCCCTTACCCATTCTGTCGTATCTCAGTCTCAGTAAAACCCTCTATTTTCTGGCTTCTGTCTCTTCCTCAACAGTATATCTCTCCCTTTTCTCTGTACCCTGCTTGCTCCTGAATCAACCATGGGTGACGCTGAGCCCACTTTGAGACCTTCCGTGTACTGTGAGTCTCCTCCCTGGTTTGGGTAGAGCCATCTGCCATTCCTCCCCTCCCTTCTAGCTCCTTCCCTACATTCTTGCTCGGGAGGGAGTTTAGACTTACAGACAGAAGGAAGTAGAACCTCAACTCTGTTGACTCAGCAAACCTCTCTCTCCTTAAGCTGATTAGCACTGGAGTGGAAAAGGAGGGGAATTTGCTAGTCACTAGAGCTGGCACTTAGGCTGGGCTGGGGGTGGGGAGTGAGGTGTGGCAGCGCCCAGGCTTATGGAATATGGCTCCAGAGAAGGGTCTAAAGAATTCCTGTGCCTCAGGCAGGGCACAGGGCTCTGCTGGCAGTGAGGGACCTTGACAGGCACTGACGGCTGGACTGAACTCGTAGAAATGAGCGCACACATTACAGTACAGGGATGGTACCCAGGCCTGAGCACCTTGAGAGGGGAACCCTCTGTCCTGGGAACTACCCAGGAGCAAACAGCCCTGGCTCAGATAGCATCCAGTCAGAGGACAAATTCTTCCAGGTGTGTTGGAGTGTGGAGTCTTGCGCTGGAGCCGGAGGCTGGCTGTGAAGGGATCTGGGCTGAGAAGGGGACTTCTCACAGGACAGAACAAAGAAAGAATGGCGTCCTAACTAAACTGGTGGGCTTGAGCCCATGAGGCTGAACAAACGAGAGTCCTGGAGTAGCTGCTTACACACAGCAAATAGCACTATTACCCTCCCTGGTCCTGTGTTCACAGAGGCATGGGACCACCTTCTTACCCCCTCTACCAGCAAGACTGCCTCTCCCTCTGCCCAGCCCACCCCAGCTAGTGACGGAACGCTCTGCACAGTGACCTCTATGTCTTAGTGTTTCTGCCCCTAGTTCATAGACCTGTGATCTGACCCTCATCCTTTTCTCCCAAGGCCCCTCTCCCCCAAGTGCAGTGGCAGTTCAACTCCTTGCCTTCCGCAGCATGAAAGTGAGTGAGCCAGACAGAGACAGAAGGAGGCTGGAGGACGTGGCTCCCTGTGGGGGAAGGTGGTTGGTGATGATTTATTAGCCAGACAAGGATCAACAAACAAGTTCTAACATCTGTTCTCACCAAACCATTCCTCAGACAACAGCAGCATTGGACCAGAGCCCAGTCTCAAAGGCTCAGAGGGCCAAGGAAATTAGACTCCAGGAGGAGAACAAGGGCAGCAGGAGCCAGCAAAGCCCTCTGAGCTCAGTTCCTCACCATCTTAGTGGATTGCCAAGTACTGGGCCATTGGATTCCCTGGAGACTCGGGAGGTAATCAGTTGGTGTGTTCCCATGAGGAAGTGGACTTCACTCTGCTCCGCTGGCCTCCAGAGGGACAAGGCTAAGACCAGGATCCAAACGAGAGGACCCAGCATCCAAGCTCCCATGCAGCAGCTCTGAAAAGCTGTCAGATTTTCTAGCTGAGGTTATCTCTGATGTTTCTGTGAAGAAGGTACAAAGCATTAAACAGGGAAATCAGGAAGCATGAGGTCTAGTCTTTAGCACTGACTGAGCCAACTCTGGGCTTTATTTCCTTACCTGTAAAGCAAGGAACTTGACCAATAGGGACTAACTATTGTGCTGCTGCCCTTCCTCTTTCCCTCATCCATGGCAGACATCACTAATCAATCACTGTGCTCTTTTCTGCTGAGTTCAGATATGACCTACACATCTTTTCAATGCAGTGCTCTAGGCAGCCATGACCAATGGATGGAAGTTGGCATACAAGGTGACACCTCTTTGCCATCCTTGTAACAGATGATGGCTGAGGTCCTTTACAATTTTGATCATCTGTGGTTTTTGTTCCATCCACATTTCCTGACAAGGACACCCCAGAATGTGTGAAGGTCTCTGGACTTGATAAATTCCATTTATCTTCCCCCAGCTCAGACTCACCAGTTACTGAGGAGGTCCCAAGGGAAGCCATGCCTGTCCCTGGTCCTGGAGCACCTGTCTAGACAAGTTGGGAGGGAGAGTGTGTACCCAGGGCGGTCGGGGCTGGTGAGGAAGGGCAGGGCCTTGTCCAGTTACAAAGTCCTCAGAATGCAACTGCGGACCACCTGGATTCTGGAGAGAGAAAGACAAACCCTAGCTCACACCTTCCACCCCTGGCTTTAGAGGCAAAGACGGTGAAAGTTCATCTCACAAACTTTGGGGATCAGGAGGGGTCAGTCCTTGGTAAAGGACATCATGCTTGAAAGGGTAGAAGATGTGAGCAAAAGGGAAGAGGACCCTCAATAAGATGAACTGACGTGAAGACTGCCAGGCAAGGTTCAGATTCATTGTTCTTAGGGTTGCTGTGAGTCATAGTTGACTTGACAGTACCTTAACCTAACAACAACCTTTAGGGTTAAGACTTTGAGGTTTCAACCGACTTTGATCTCTAGGCTGAAAGCAGGTGTCTAGACTCCTCTTGGGAGCCCTGGTGATCAGAAGTCACAAGACTGGTAGAGGCCAATTTAGAAGTTTCTGGGAAAGTCTTGGTGAGAGACTAAATTGGGAAAAGGAGACATATACTTAGGAGACGCAGGAAGAATTACTGGCTTATGGGGGGGGGATGAAAAGAGAGGACATAGAGGGAGCCCCCAGGATGCCTGTTTGGAATGCTGGGAAGCTGAAATGTTACCATTCCGGCTATGAACATGGGAGGGAGAAGTTCTAGGGGGGAGAGGGAAGCAGGGTTGGCTGTGTTGAATTTGAGGGGCTGTGGGGCACCAGTGGGCTGTCCAGACCGTGGAAAGAACTCCAGGAGAGAGAAGAAGAGCTGAGGAGGGTCGCAGGAGAGCGAGATGTGGCAGAGACAGAGGTCATGGACGTGTGTGTGCTGGGGAGGGGGGGGGGATGTGCCTTATGCATGACGACATGAGGTAAGATTTGAGCAGATTAATGAGAAGACGTAGGCGTGGGAACTGGTGAGGAGGAGTGTGCACGAAGGGAGGGGAGTGTGCTGAGGAGGCTGAAGAGCAGATGTTCCCTCACTGAGTTCATGAGTTCTCACTGAGAAAATGCTGGGACTCTAAGCCCTCTTCATCTTTAGGAGGCCATTAAGGCAGAGGGAAAAGTACCGACCCAGGTTCAGACCTGCAAGAACGAAGTGGGTGGAGCCAATCTGGTTTTCAGGAACTTTATCTCGCACCCCTATTTACCTGGCTCCTTAGGTTAGGCCTGGAGCGGCATTTCCGTAGGACCTGGTGCCTCCAGGTGGACCGCGGCTCCTCACGCTCGGGGGGCACCGCCACCTCCGCGTAGATGTTGCTCGGGGCCTCCCCAGGGCTGCCCCGGCCCATGGCGTAGAAGGCGATGGGCTCGTCTGGCTCATGGTAGATGGGATTGGAGGGCTTCGGGGGCGGGGCCGGGCGCGGGCGCGGAGCCGAGTTTGCAGTGACTTCGGGGGACAGCTGAGGTTTGGCTGGAATGGGGAGCTTAGGCCTGGGCGGCTGGGAGGCCTGGGCGAGAACGGCGAGGCCGGGAAGGAGAAACAGGTTAGAACAGCCGAGTCGGGGCCTAAACCCCAGTTTGAACCTCCTGCTCCTTCAGGCTTTGCCCTCGAAGCCTCTGTTGCCTCTTGTCCTCACCTTGCCTGTGCCTCAATCCCCGCCCCCTCCCTCAGCCTCTCCTTCCCAGTACCTCCTTGGACTCCTGGGCCCCCTCTTTCTGCAGCGGGGTAGGGGCTTGTCCCTGTTTGCGGATTGCACTATATTGGCGACCTGGGTCCTGGAGTTTGCTTCCAGAGTCTGTTTCTTCAGTTCTCAAGCAAAGTCCTGCGGGCTCAGGAGTCTGCTGGGAAAGAAGGAGGCCTGAGGGATTTTATGCCTGGGGATGGATTACTGGGACAGGTGCTCCAGAGGACAAATGACTTGGTTCAAGTGGAGGATGAGGGGAGGGGAGGCATAGAACTTTGGCCTGGGCTGGGTCCCCTGGGTTAGAAGGGAGGATGGTAGGGGGAAGAGGTTAGGGCACAGTGGTTGGTGGGGGTAGCTCCACTTGTGCCTGTGCCTGTAAAAATGCAACAAGTATGCACCTGCGAGCTGGACAGTGAAAGAGGATGAAAGAAGGATTGATGCCTTTGAGCTCTTGTGCTGGAGAAGAGCACTGAAAGTCTCATCGAAGGCCAAGAGAATGAACAGGTATATCTTGGGGAAGGTGCATCTGGAATGCTCTTTGGAGGCAAGAATGATGAGGCTTCACCTCACATACTTTATAGGCATTACTAAGAGGGGCTGTTTCTTGGAGAGGGACATGATGCTGGGAAGGGTGGAGGGCTGGCAAAGGAGAGGAAGACCCTCAACTAGGTGGATTGACATGGTGACTGCTGCAATGGGCTCTGTGTCAGGAAATGTGAGGATGGCGCAGGATAGGACAGCATGTGCGAGCCTGGCTTCCCTGTTTTAATGGCGTACTGAACCTCACTTGCCCCACATAAATCTAAGTCTGTGTAGACCCTTCATGCTGCTAGGGGCCTTCCCTGAGATCCTTTAAGAAGCATAATTTACGGAGATATTAGTAAAATTTTTAAAAGGCAGAATGACAAGCCCGAGGGAGCCTTAAGTTACTTTCCACAGTAGGTATGTGTGCTTTTAGGCCTGCGTTTGGCCCTGGTTTCATCCTCACCACATGCCCTCTGCTTCGGGTAAATAGAGATCATAAGGCTTAGCTAAAGTCACTGAGCTTTCCTCATTCTCCGGCAATAAACCAAATGTGTGTCTTTATTTGGAAGTGTACAGGCCCTTCTAGGGGTCAAATCAGAATTCTTTTTCTGTCCAAATTCTCTTCTTTCTTGTAACATTGTCTTATTGAAATCTTCTTTTGTTTTTTTCTTGTTGTGTACCATCGAATCAGATCCAACTGGCACAGGAGGAGATTGCCCCTCCCTTTCCAGCAGAGCATCTGGTGGATTCGAACCGTGCACCTTCGGGATTGCAGTGCAGCTTCTTGTCCCTAGGCCACCAGAAAGAGCTTCCTAACATTGTCTTTATGAATAAAAAGTTAGTAGCATCTATGCCCTTCTGCTAAAAACAGCATCTTTGGCATTGACTTTGACACATTTGACTCTCTTTCCCACCCCATGTCTAATCAGATACAAGCCTTGTTCCTTCTGCTGCCTAAGTATCCTTTTACATGTGTCCACTCTTTATTATGCCCATAGCAGCCACTCCAGTTCGAATCTCCCATCTGCTCCCTTGCTTTCCCTTTTGGCCCTCTAGCGCATTTCTCACTCAGTGGACAGAGTAATTGTCTAAAACACCACTAACAATGAATGCTTCAGGATCCTCCTGCTGCCCCCACAATAAACTCCAGCCTCCTGATAGCTTGAGTTACATGACTCTGCATGGCTGAGTCCACGGGGCCTCCGACTTCCCACTCTTCTGCCTCTAGTTCTCTGCTGTCACCTTCTCACCCCTACACTTTCTTGTGCTCAGTTCCTGCTGCTTGGGAATCTCTTGTTGTTAGGTGCGACCCTACACCCAACAGAATGAAATACTGTCTAGTTCTGCATCATGCTCACAGTGGTTGCTCTCCTCTTCTTTATTGCTGACACTCTACAATAGGAAACTCTGGTGGCTTAGTGGTAAGAAATTGTACTGCTAATGCAAAGGTACATAGTTTGAGCCTACCAGCTGCTCTGCAGGAGAATAATAGGCAGTCTCCTCCCATGCGATTTTCTGCCTCTGAAAACCCTCTGAAAGGTCAACTGTGGGTTGTTTCTTTCTTTCTTTCTTCCCCGCTCCCTTCCTTTTCTTGTTGTATATTGTTAAATTGGATCTGACTGGCACAGGAGGAGACTGCCTCTCGTTCTCCAGGGGGGCATCTGGAGGATTTGAACCATGAGCCTTTGGGATTGCAGTGCAGCTTCTTGTGAGCAGGTCGCCACCAGAGCTCCCTGACTATGGATTGTTTCTGACCTGATGGTACACATACTAAGAGTTACTATTTTACCAAGCATCAAGTCCCTACCGATTCCTCATAAAATTCCACAAGAGTTGACCATAGGCACTGTTTTCATTTCTTGAAGGGGCCGTGGTCAAGCTCCATGAAACTGTTCATGTCAAGATCTCCAGTGACTTCTTTGCTAAATCCAGTGGTCAATTCCTGACCCATTGCCTCCCCCTCTTTGACTCATTTTCTTCACTTGACTTCTGGGACATCATACTCTCCTGTTTTTCTCCTCTCTCTGGATGCATTTTTCATTTTGTAAATTTCCCTCATTTCTGAAAACTTGAAAATTCTGAAGACTTAGTCTTCATTTCTTCACTATCTCCATTCACTTCGTGTATGGTTTTCACCTCCTATCAGCATGGCACTAATGCTCAGCTGTTTCTCTCCAGCCAGATCTCTGTCATAAGCTCCAGACTTGTATATTCCAGGGGCCTATAAGAACTGATGCCTTTGAGTTGTGGTGCTGGAGAAGAATCTTGAACTTATACTATGGACTGCTAAGAAAATAAATAGGTCTTTCTTGGAGGGGGTGAAACCAAGTTTCTCCTTGGAGGCTAGGATTTTGAATCTCTGTCTCACATACGTTGGGTATGTGGCCAGGAGGGACTAGTCCTTGGAGAAGGACTTCATGCTCCGAAGGGTGAAGGAACAACACAGGAGAGGAAGGCCCAGGATGAGATGGATTGATAGAGTAAGTAGGTCAGTGGGGGGGGGGGAGGGTAGGTATATGGGAGTCAGTGAGACTGGCTCAGGACACGGCAGGGTTCAGAGCTGCTGTACATAGGGTCTTTATAAGCCAGAGGCAACTTGACGGCACATAACATGTGACATCTTCATTTGGAGACTGATGGGCATCTCGAACTGGGCAAATAGAACTTATCTCTCCTCCCTGAAGACTTGCTCCTCCTATAACTGTCCTCATCTCAGTGAATAGCACTCCATCCTTTCACTCTTCACTCTTCCCTGAAAAAATGTGTCAGCTTCACCTTCATAACAGATACAGTATTCCACCTCTGCAGCTCTGGTGGCCTAGTGATAAGAAGTTGCCCTGCCAACTCAAAGGCAGGTAGTTCAAATCTACTAACTGCTTCTAGGGAGAAAGATTGATGGTGTCTTTATGGTGATTTACAGTCTCTGAAAACCCACTAGAGGGTCAGCTATGAGTCAGTTTCAACTTGATGGCAATGAACAACAACAGCAACTATCATTCTGGTCCAAGCCATCATTTAACCTAAAATTAAATTTAGTATCCGCTAGCTGGTCACACCTTCTCCTTCTAAACTTTTAAGGGAATGTCATTTCTTAGTTTGCCATTTCATGTTATTGTTCTATGCCGTCGAGTTGCTTGTGACCCACACCCTTTGTACAGAAGCTCTGAACCCTGCCCTGTCCTGAGCCAGTCTCACTAATTCCAAAACACCATCCTCCATTGTCCCAGTTACTGACTGTATCAATCCATCTCATCTGGGATCTTCCTCTCCTGCACTGTCCCTCCACTCTTCTTCACAGCATGATGTCTTTCTCCAAGAATCTGTCCCTCTTGGCCACATGCCCAAAGTATATGAGATGGAATTTCAAAATCCTGGCCTCCAAGGAGAAATTTGGTTTCACTCTCTCCAAGACAGACCTATTTGTTTTCTTGGTGGTCCATGGAATGTTCAAGACTCCTCCATCACCACAATTCAAAGACATTGATTCTTCTTCTGTCATCCTAAGTCACTGTTCAGCTCTCTGATGCATAGCAAGTAATTGCAAAGACTATGGCTTAGATCAGGCATACCTTAGTCTCTAGACTGACATTGTTGCTTTTCAGTACTCTGCCATTTAATGTCATTTAGGTTAAAACTGTAAATCTCTAAAAGAATCCCTTCCTACTACCTCTTTAATCTCATCTCCTTTGTCTCCTCTGTAATCACTCAGCTGGTTTTCCCACTGCTCTTGTTATGTGCTGTTGAATCGGAACCGACCCACGGCTGACCCTCCATTGGGTTTTCAGAGGCAGTAAATCAATGGGAAGAGACTGCTCATCTTTCTCCTGCAGGGCCTACAAGATTCCAACCACGTGCCCCTGAGTCGGCCGCGCAGCTCTGGACCACCAGCCTCCATACTGCTCTTAGTAGTCGTCAAACATCCTCCTACTTGAGAGCTAACTTATTCCAGCTCCCTTAAACACTTCCTCCCTCTTTGTCTCTGGCTCGTTCCCTTACTTTATTCAGGCCTCCCCTTACTGGAGTGGCCCTTCCTTAATGTAAAATAGCACCACCTCCATAATTTCCGGACAAATGTTTATATGTCTATCACTTATTTACTTGAATGTAAGCACTGTGAGGGCACGGATGGCGGTATTGTGGCTAAAGCGCTCAGTTGCTAACTAAAAGGTCAGTGGTACAAACCCAGCAGCTGCTGTGTGGGAGAAAGGCACCGATCTGCTTTCATAAAGGTTGCTTGCCATGTCATCCCTATGGTGCAGGTGTCTTTTAGCATCCCAGTGAGTAGGAAGTGAATCAGTGACGGTGACTTGTTTTTATGACTAGGTCTCTGCACCCAGGACAATGCCCGGCACCTGGAAGCCCCTCAGAACCGCAGGGAGACACGTCCTGACACCAAGTCCCAAGTGAACAGAGTTCACAAGGAGCCCTCCCTTCCACTTATCTTCCTCAGAGAACTTCCCACAGGGATGTCTGGGTTAGAGAGGCTTGGCTAGGCCTTCTGCTGGCAGAGAAGACGCCCAGTATCACGGTCCTCAGGCCTGAAAGGAGAGCTGGCCTGAGTCCCTGGGGTCTGGGGTTCGGGTGCGGAGTCGGGGGCGTACCTGGCGGGAGCAGGGCTCGGTGAGCTTTTCCCCGTAGGGGTTGAGCGGGCACGCTGTGTAGTGTCGCAGCAGGTCCTGCAGCCGCCTGTGAGCGCTGTCCTCGCCCAGCACCACGTGGCGCCCGTCCTCCAGCTGAGCCAGCAGAAAGTGCCTGCAGCAAGTCCGGCTTCTGGAGGGGGCGGTTTGGGATCAGACCCGTGTCTCCTCCCCACCCAGGTCCACCAGCTCGTGCTGTGCCTGCTAAGCTCTCCTTCCCCACACCTCCCACCTCCCGCGTCCCCACGGCCCCGGGTCTCCCGCCCTCAGCGGGGCCAGGGCTGAGAGCAGACTCCCCCCTCCAGCTGGACGGCATGGGGCCACGCCCACCACACGTCAGTCAATCTAAATCCCCGCCTCCAAGGACCCCCCTTCACCTGTAGGTCAGCACGAAGGTCACAGCGCTCTCGCTGAACCTCACCAGGTAGCATCCCTGAGGCTTGCTCTCTAGCAGTCTCTCAGCCTCCCTATGGATAATGGAGGGATGATGGAGAACCCAGTTCTGACTCTCCAGAACGGTCCCCTGCTCCCTGGAGCTCCTGAGGGCCTATCCCCCAACCCAGTGTGCTCAAGTGGCCAGAAAAGTGCCTGTGGGGTTATGAGAAGAGAAGATTATGCATTAGGCATCTGTTTCAGAGGTGCTGCAGGGACTGAGGCTGTCCTTGCCAGTTGCCCGGGTGGCCCTCAGGATACAAGAGTTCGCTTGCTTGTCCACCCAGCCCTGCATCCTATCCACTGAAGGGGAGGCTGCTGCGGCTGGGGCTGCAATTAGACTTCTAGATTTCACTGGTCCCAAGTGAGCTGAAGTGAACCCAGAGATACACGATCAGTGCCGTTTAGAAGGTAGAGGAAGAAGGAAAAAGGCAGGGAGACAGCAGGAAGGAAAAGGGGAGGGCTGGAAGAAGCTAGAGGCAAAGATGGAGTAAGGGAGATGGAAAATATGAAGGCCTTGAAGACAGGGGAACGATGGCCCTCCCGAGGGGAAACCAAGACACACAGGCAGGTGAACTGGGTGGAGTCTCTCCAGTGTCCTCCACTAGGAGAGTGAATGGCTAGGAGCTGGAAGTTGAAACCTCAGCCAGCCTGCCCTGAGTTGATGAGGGACCTTGTTCTCCCCAGACCTGCTTCCTCCTCTGCGTGTGACTCACCTCCGGGTGATGAAGCCATGGAACCAGGCAGGGGCTGCCCCGCGCTGCAGGATACAGTGGGCCTGGGTTTTCTGGAACCAAATCCGAGTCTCAGCCTGCAAGGTCAGGCTTCCTTCGCCAGGCACCTCCTCAGCCTTCCCAATACCCTCTGGACTGGAGGCGGCCCCCTGGGCCTGGGGAAACACCTGATAGGGGAACAGACCGAGGAAAAGGTGCCACGATTCAGGCCTTGCCCTGACTCCAATCAGCCACCATCTTCTCATCCTCGTAACCAGCTCCCTGGCTATGGGGAGGAAGCCCCTCAGACTGGCTGCCTATTTTAGGATGTTGTTGCCCTGAAAGTCCTTCCCAGGATTTAATTTAATCTTGTCTTCAGCTTGAGGTGTTTTGTTTTCCAGCAGGGCTTCAAACAGGTTCTTCTCGATTCAGTCATGGAAGACTAAGTGAAACCCAGAAAGTGAAACTGGAACAGATTAGAATTTGTAAACTGTGGGTGTACTGGAATGATAACAGAACAGGAAAAATTGCTATTTGAAGCCCTGCTGGAAATTTACTCTTGTTCTTAGATTTGGTAACACACACTATCAAATCGTTTGGCTAGCAAAGTTGGAAATGCGTGTGTGTGACTCAAAGATGGCAGCCCCAGGCCGCTTTGAACGTGTGTTGATCTCCACAGCCCCGCCGGGAATCTAATCTGAAAAGGGCTCGCTACACCTCTTCCCAGTCTCCCATTCTAGGTCTTCCACTTGGAATTTTTCGTCGGGTAGCACCCGCGTTTTATAAATTCTGGTCTGTCCTAGTTTAGCTGCCCCAGCCATGACTGAACTGCTTTGAATGGATTCGAAGCCCTGGTTTCAGAGACTCTCCTTTCACTTCCTTTTGCACTATCAGGGCCTTGAATCCTAATAGCAGTGAGCTGTTAAACTGTGCTTACATGGGTCAAGACAGGCAACAAGGCCTTCCAAATGGACTGAAGGTCAGTCCCTGGGGGGTGAAGGGACATGATGCAGGTGACCCCCATTGTAGGCTGAGGGAGACGTTGTCCTCTGATAGTAGGAGGAATTGAAGCTGAGTCCAACAAAGGATTTTCTAATGACTGAGGGGAGTCCTGGGAGATACAAATAGTGATTAAACTCAGCTACTAACTGACAGGTTGCAAGTTCAAGCTCACCAGGGGCACCTGAGAAGAAAGGCTTGGTAATCTATGTCCAAAAAACCAAGTCATTGAAAACGCTATGGAAATATGAGGGCTGTAGGATAACAGAGCCTACGAGGGTCCATAAAGGCGCAGAGGTCATCTGACACACACGAGGTTGCCAGGAGTTAACACTGACTCAACACCAGGTGGCTTAGGGGAGTGAGGAGAACTGTGATGGGGTCCTGGGATGCATATGGCAAATGAAAGCCACTGACAGAATTGCACTGGACTAAATGCACTGTGACCTAGTAACCTGCGGATTCAGCCTGAGCGTTCCAGGCCCAGAGGAGCAGTGTAGGAACCAGGGGCCACTTAGCAGTGAAGGAACTATTCCCTTCTCTCCCTCCCTCAGCTCCCCTAGCCCTGTTCACCGCTCCATATCCCTTCTGCTCTGTCTTCTCATTGTCAGTCTGCAAGCTTGCCCCCGTGAGCAGGTGAGGGGCCTGCATCTCCCCAAGTTCTCACTCACCAAAGCTTTCACAGCCAGAACCCTGGGGCTGGGCTGGGTCTCCTCAGCTACCAGGACCTGGCATCTGGGCCGCAGCATCGGGTCCAGGCCCTGGCCCCTCCTGTGGGTCACGTCCATGGGCAGGAGGGCGTTGAAGTTTGGGCTGGGGGCTTGGCGACTCCCTGTCCATAGAAAGAGGAGCCAGGGTTTCTCAGTGAGGGGTTTCCTCCACCCTGCTGCCCAGTCTCCAGAGCCCTGCATCCCCTGACAAGGGACCAGGCAAAATGCAGGAAAACAGCAGGGGGATTTCTCAGGGTTGGGGAGGATTTCTCAGGATCAAGGATACTTGAGGGACTGACCTATTGGGGTGGGAAGGAGTCGTCAGGTGAGCTGAGTGTCAGGAGGAAAAGCCTGAGAACCAAGCTGTTTTTCTGAAAGCCCACAAGTTCCTTCTATTCCACGGTTCTCCCCCATTTGAGTCCCTCTCCTTTTCCCAGCTTCTACCCTCTGTAAGAAGCACTGAGAAAACCTGTCGCTTTTGTCCTCAGGGGTGTGAACATGAAGCCCCAGAGGGAGCAGGGATACTAGGCATCCTACCTGTCAGCCTTGCCACCACTGGCTTGGAGTGAGGAGCCCTCACTGAAGCCCAAGGGAGACCACAGGGGTGATGGAGGGAGTCCTAATGTCCCCACCCCCCACATTTGTACACTTGCCACTTACCTTGGGGACATATCTGAGCCCAGGGGAGCTCCATGGGGACAGTCTAAGAAGAAGCCCCCAGAGCAGGGTGTGTGTCTGTGTTCTGGAAAGGTGTGCACACTCAGCAACTCATCTTTCCCCTTCCCCCGGCCCCTGGGGGCAGGAAGTACTGCTTCACCCACAGCCACACTTAGCTCCAGCAGAGAACTCACGTCATGGAAAGTCGTAAGACGGTTGTCCCTCCCCGGAAGCCAGCCAGCTGAAGGTGGTGGTGGAGTTCTGGTAGCGGATATTTGTGCCACTGTGTTTGGGTGTTGAGAAGTCCTCACTGCTATCTGACCTCCATCTCTCCCTTTCTCCACTCCCTCACCCTGGGGTAGGATGCCCTGCCTCCTTTCTCTGTCTCTGGAAAATGTCTTACTCTGTCTTCGTATCTGTTTTGAACATTGGGAATGAGGGTGTTAACCTTAAAAGAATCAGCTCAGGACTCAAGATTCATACTAGGAATTGTGCTCTGAGTGTGCACGGGGAGGGGAGAGGCTGGGCTGAAACAAGGAAGGATGTGGCCAGGTTCTGGAAGGACTTTCTGGGGCCATATACAAGCCGTGAGACAAGGGGGTAGGGAGATTGAGGCCTGGTTTCCACTCTCAGGCAGATAATGGAGATCGGTTAGGGCAAAGCTAGGCACTTCTGAAGAAAAGGAAGGGGAATTTCCTTTCACTATATAGGGAAAAACCAAAACCCAGCTTAATAAGCCATGGAGTCAATTCCGACTCATAGCAACTTTGTAGGACATGGAACATCAGCATCAACATCAGCCCCAAACTGATTCCTTTGAGGTGGGGATCAGACATATGTCTGCATTCTCCCACCTTTTTTACTGATTCTGACACCAGCTGTTCTCCCCACAGCACTCTGCTGATTTGCTGAGTGTGATGACTTATCACAGTGGCCATACACAATTCACAGATGATTCCTACAGATATACGGCTTATTAAGGAAGTAACATTGGATCAGAATCAACAGGCAACAACCTAACATCAGCATCAGAACACATGTAGGAAAACCTCCTTTCTTCAGCTCAGGGCAGCTCTCTCAGCTCCTTTGGGCAAACAAGCAGGCACTTCTGTCTGCTAGTCATGCTCCCTCTCAGCTGTGAGGCTTTCTCTTAACCTCTGCTCTGCTTTGCAAGTGTTACGGCTCCTTTAACCCTCCTGAGTTAGTTGGAGTCCAGAGGCATCCACTTCACCAATAAGCTTCCTGCCCAAGGGTGCTCACCTCTTTTGCACAGTGGGCCAGGAAGCCTACCATAACATCTTGTGCCACCAGTTTCTTGGTTCTGCTGCTGTCCCTCACTGCCCACCCCCCCAGGCTTACAGCTTTCTTTGTGTTCCAGATCTAGGGGGTTCTCAGCAGAGGAACCTTGGGTCCAGAGGACATGCTCCACTCAGAGCTTTTCTTCTTGATGGCAGTGAGGTCTTCCTTTGCCTCTGTGGGATGGCTGTTTATATAATAAGTGGCTCAGTTCTAGCAGATTGAATCATATGCTCCCTCTTTGCAAAATAACTAACCAGTCACCTCACTGGTCTAACCGATAAATCCTCTTGAAATTTCCATCGACTTGTGTAATAATTGACATGTTCTTCTAACAGTGACTGCCTTCTTCCCTGGACTAAAGAATCAAGCTTCTCCACCACACCAGAGCAACAATAAAAAAGGCAACTGGAATAATTCCTTAGTCCGGGCGGGGGGATCTCTCAAGTTATTGTCTTGTCTTTACTTTTTCCAGACAAATAAGGAAAAAGGCCATAACTTATTTCACCACAGAAGCCCACATTCAAGCCTGACTCAGCCTGAAGGAAGCTTTGGTGTCTCAATGATAAGGACTTGCGATGCTAACCCAAAGCACATGGTTCAAATCCACCAGCTGCTCCAGGGGAGAAAAATGGGCAGTCTACTTTTCTGCTCTTTATTGCCTCTGACAACCTGCTATGAGTCGGTTCGGACTTGACAATATACAACAACAATGACAATTCAATAGTTCAGCCTGGAGTGTGTGTGTATATGTGTGTGTGCTTGTCCATATGAGCACACGTTTATGTGATGCACTCTTGTGGAGGGTGCTGAGATATTCAAAGGGGAGAATGAGCTGGACTGTGGAGGATGAGAAGAGTTCAAGAAGGTGGGGAAGATATTTCTAGTCAATGGACAGTATGTGCAAATGTCTGGAAGAATGCAATGGCCTGGTGCATGGGACGACTGCAGGGGATAGGGTGTACAGTGCGGCTGGAGCAGAGGCTGGGCCTTGGGACTTCCAGGAGCTGTTTATACAACAGGAAGGGTCAGGGCCGGTCACATGCTGTGGGTGATCAGCTGCTTGTCCTCCTCTGCCAGCTCTGTGGTGACATCTCCCATCTTTCACTGCTAGCTTTGCCATGCACCCCCATCACCCCAAAGACCTTGCCTTCTGAGCTACCTGCATCCTCGTCTGTTCCTTAAAAATGCTTGCTTTAAGGGGAGCTCTGGTGGCCTAGTGGCATGAAGCTGTACTGCAATCCCAAAGGTACATGGTTTGAATCCACCAGATGCTCTGCCGGAGAAGGAGGGACAATTTCCTCCTGTACCAGTCAGATTTGATTTGATGGTACATGCACCAAAAAAATAAAATTAAATTAAATTTAAAAAAAATGCTTGCTTTAATTTTGGTTCCAGCCTTGTTTGTTTTTGTTAAGTGTTGTTGAGTCGTAGATGACTAGAGACCCTTTTAACAAAAGACCTGAACACTTGTGTAACTGTCATTGTTTCTCCAAGTTCATAGAGTTTCTGGAAGCAAGCTATTTTGGAAGTGGATGCCACTCTTGCTTCCAAGCTTGTTTGAATCGGGGAGCTCCACCAAACACTGTCCACCATGAGTAACCATTATCGCATTTGACACATCAGTGTCACAGTGTTCAGCTTCACAGCAACCACTAGTTGGTTCCAGCCTAGGAGCTGGAAATGAGACCATCAAGACGGACAGGTATCTAAAATGTCTTTTCCAAATTTCTTATTTTATTTACTTGGAGTTTGAGGCCGAGAAAGAATTCCACATGCATGACTGGTTTGTTTTTGGGTTTGTTTTTTTTCTCTTTCCATTGAGGAATAGTGTTATCTGCAGAGTTCAGCATCAGCTTCTACCATGGATGGGCATGTTACTCAGCTGTAACACTCAGCCTTGGTGAGACTTGCTATTAAGTCCCCTGTGCTTATCATAATGGGGTGACCTATGACTAAAGAGAGAAGTTGGCTGACGTCCACAGGACTGGATGGCTTGGCCACCTTATGGTTGGCATCCTTGGCTTACACATCTCTAAGTGCATCCACCAGGGCTGGGATTAGAGGGAGCCACGTGAGGTGCCAAGGGTACAAGATTTAAGGAAGCACCCACTCTCAGGATTGTACAAGAACCGTTTTCTTCTAGTTTTTCTATCTACTTATCTCTTTCCAAGACCACATTTGATCAGACTTTCTACAGTATTTCTTCTAGAACCCTGAACAAATGACCAAGCTATTTGCCATTCATTCAAGTCATGATATCTCCAATTGCTTTCTATACGTCTGCAAGCTGGACAATGAATAAAGATGGCAGATGAGGAATCGAGGTCTTTGAGGTGTGCTGTTGGGGAATGGAATTTCCCATGTGCTGCCAAGAGAGCAAACAGGTTTGTTTTGGAAGAAGTGTAACTGAGGTGCTGTTTAGAGGCAAGGATGGTGAAACTTTGTCTCACACACTTTGGGCGTGTTGTCAGGAGGGGATGCTGGGAAAGGTGGAGGGTCAGAGAAAGAGCAGAAGACACTCAACAAGACGGACGGACACAGGGACTGTAACAACGGGCTTGAGCCCCTGTCAGAGATCACGAGGACGGTGCAGGCTACGGTAGGTTTCAGATCTGTTGCTCAAGTGTTGTCACTCTGAGTCACAATTGACTTGAGATAGAGCAGGGTTCAGAGCTATTGTGCACAGGATTGCTATGAATCGTAGATGACTCAATGGCACACAACAACAACAGTGTTGTTATTGTGATGGGAAAGTCTGCTGTTAGGGATCTCTTCAGGGTACTGAAGAGCAATGGTGTCCCTCTGGAGACTAAGGTGTGTCTGATACAGGGTATGGTCTTTGCAATCACTTGTTATGCATCAGAGAGTTGGACAATGACTAAGGAAGATAGAAGGAGAATTGATGCCTTTGAGCTGTGGTGCTGGAGATGAGTATTGAATGTACCCTGGACTGC